AACGCCGGATTTGATTACTTCTAATCGTGGATTTGATTACTTCTAAATATCATCGTGGATTTGATTACTTCTAGCGTTAATATCAACGCATGTCATCTAGAAGTAATCAAATCCACAATGATATTAACGCTAGAAGTAATCAAATCCACGATGATATTAACGCATGTCATCTAGAAGTAATCAACACTTTTTTATATATACTGTAATTCTTTAAAGGCTAGAAATTTGCACTTATTATTCGGGTTACAATAACCTTGAGGACATGAAGGATATACCCTTTAATAGCACGCAAGTCAGGACATGAAGGATATACCCTTTAATAGCACGCAAGTCAGGATATTAAGGATATACCCTTTAATAGCACGCAAGTCATCGACATTTCCTGTACAAATTTTCACATTCTAATTTATTCAACTCAAACGAGGTAAAAATTGGGAAGCGGCTTTAACATTTTGGCGACGACTATGCGGGTAAGATTATCAGAAAATATAGACTGGTAACATCTCTCTCACGCGCAGCCCAGACAACCCGCATTGTCTAAATGTCATGACCTTAACAGTTCGAAGAAACGTTAATTACCGTTACGCCTTGTCTGCTTGGACCAGCATCTTTGAAATGTCAATGCCACTTTAGAATAATGTGGTATTGAAAAAAAAGAGATGGCATAAAGGAACCTAGGACCTTATATGTCACAGGGCAACATTATCACAAATACAAAAACTCTATAAGCTTCTTGAACGCAAATTTCCAAGACTGGTGAAGGTGGACAAGTGCACAGAAAAGAAAAGTGTGAAAAGAAGAGTCTTCGTGTAATATAAACTTTATTTTATATATGTATATACACGTCCGCCGACTTGTAGAATACAAAATAATATAAAAATACATAAGTTCATGAGATATACAACACCTATGTTCAGGAGGTATGGTTTTTATGGTTGACTAGCAGTACGATATACCATCACCTTATCCTCTACTGTCTCATTATGGGTTGCCATTACGAGAAAAGTGTGTACTTGTATTTCAAGTGTACTTTATCTGTTGTACGTTGTCGCTGAAGAAAGGGGTTTTGCTCAATAACACAGTTCGTCACGCCAGCTGACGAGTTAACATGCTGAGCAGAACGCTTCGTTGACAGCAACGCACACACATACAAAAAAATGTGTTGAAATGCTGTTACACATTCTTCTTGGCAACCACATCGTGATGAAAATTCACGCCTCCTGCCATAGAAGTTAATGTTTACGTGCAATATAAATTTCCGGACAACATACGCTATCTTTACTATTATTCAGTTTTATTAAAAGAAAAATTAGGCTTAGCTTTTAATTTTGTTTTGAAACTTTTCTGACGATAGAATCAGAACATCGTAAAAACTTTTCAAGTTATAACTTTTAAACAACATTTGGGAGGCTGGCTTTATTGCGTGTCTCTAATACTTTAACCAATTCTTCGACAGTTTCACGAAGGATAAGCTGGTCAACATTCTGTCCGAGCATGTACAGCAAGAACCAGTCACCAATATCAACGTTTTGGCTAATGATGCGCAGTTGCTCTTCCTCGGTAAACCTGAATCTACTGCGCAGAAAGTACAGCCTCACTTTAAAAACGCAAATTACACCAAGCCGACTGCAAAGAACAAGAATGGTCGAAGTGGTTAGGATAACAAACCAAAACCACATGAAGATGTAGATCTTTTCATTCACAATATTTTGCGGGAGCAAACAAAGACTGTTATGTTTTCTAACATCGCCGGAACTACCGTAGACGTGAAATTCACATTTTGTCATTCTTGGAAAAGCAGAAGTCATGGGATCTACTACGTCTTTCTGGTCTCGTTGTGAAAACTGCATGAGTTCAAATCCGTAAGTAAAGAACCGTCCATCGAGGAACAGGTCGAGAAGGTAAAACTGACCAATGACGTTCATCAGGCACAACAGTTCGCATAAAAAATACTTGAAAGCATAGTACTTGTGGTGCCCTCTATGTTTCAAAATATAATGTGTTAGGTCCGCTGTTTTCTTACGAAGCTCTTCGTCCGAAACAATAACAATCTGTATTATGTTACATATTGTTACCAGTAACCTTCCCTCCCAAATCTTCCATAGGTAATAGGGCGTGTAGAAGAGTAAGGCTTGAAGGAATAACACAAATCCTACCCATTGATAATAAGAATGGTAGTTCCTCTCAGAAACTCCATTGGAGTTGGAGACGCCTGGATAAGGGATTTCTTGTGATACGGGAAGATTAAAGGCTTTCGAGACAGAAAAAGTTGAATGAATCCAGCAAAATGACTCAAGCAGATCATCAGGAACGCCACCTATCGGCATACAGTGGATAGGATTCCCTACATACTGACTAGTGGTAACAAGTATACTGAAAGCCAGTAGAAAAACTGTGGTAAACAACCAGTGTAAGCGAAATACGGTGTTGTCGATGGATACGGGTCGTACTTTGACCAGGCCTTTGAAAGCTTGAAACAAATATATCATTTTATGATGCTCAGATGTTCTCCTTCTTTAATACAAAGGTTGTGTTTTCCCTCCAAACTTGAGCTGTCAGGAAAATCAATATAATTGAATAACATTATACTAGGCTTAGGACCAATATATGTAACTGAAAAATTGAATAATATTATACTAGGCTTAGGACCAATATATGTAACTGAAAAATTGAATAACATTATACTAGGCTTAGGACCAATATATGTAACTGAAAAATTGAATAATATTATACTAGGCTTAGGACCAATATATGTAACTGAAAAATTGAATAATATTATA